AACACGTTGGATTGATTGTTTTAGGAACTTAAACATTTTACGCTGAAAATAGTACATTGTAAACAGATCACTGTCAACAGAACGATTACAATTACATTTACAACCATCATTATGCTCAGACTATGTACAAATTATGTAAAAATTATGTAAAAATTATGTACAAATTATGTACAAATTATGTAAAATGATGTACAAATTATGTACAAATTATGCACAAATTATGTACAAATTATGTACAAATTATGTACAAATTATGTACAAATTATGTACAAATTATGTACTAATTAAGTACAAATTATGTAAATATTATGAACAAATTGTGTAAAAATTATGTACAAATTAAGTACAAATTATGTACAATTATTTACAAATTATGTACAAATTATGTACATATTATGTAAAAATTATGTACAAATTATGTAAAAATTATGAACAATTTATGTAAAAATTATGTAAAATTATATACAAATTATGTTCAAATTATGTACAAATTATGTACAAATTATGTACAAATTATGTACAAATTATGTTCAAATTATGTACAAATTAAGTACAAATTTTGTACAAATTGCTACAGAAGGGAATAGATTGTCCTTGAGAAATCTAGGTATAATTAACTACAGTTTAGAGGGAAAACAAAGTAAAAGAACTTTTTATTACTTTTACTTTTTTTACGGTCCTTTTCAGTTCAAGATAGCCCCTGGGAAAGAAAGGGGAGTTGAAAATCGAGCAGCATTTTGCCAATTACTCTGTTTATATTTTAGATACAGGGTGTCCCAAAAAACATGGGAATTCAGTGACGAATTTGATATCGTCTTTGTTATGAATTAGCATTGTAATACCTAATTTCAAAAGCTATAATATTATTATATCTGCTAGAGTTTATTTTATGAAAAGGGTAAAAGACTGCAGAGATGTGTCTGTAATGTCTCCGCAAGATGAACAGTGAAGACGGACAAGTTTACTCTGAGCTGAAAACTTTAGAATGGGATATCCTTAATCCTGATCGGATAATTAATCTGGAGATTAAAAATGAGAGGAGAACAAGCAATATTTAATCTCGAGATTAAGAAAAAGAGTGGATTAAGCATTAATCCCGATATCCACCATTCTAAAGTTTTCAGCTCTGTTTGTATACTGCAATTTTCTTGTTTTACTGAGTACAACCGTATGCAGTCAAAACATTAACAAACAAAATGTGAACATAGCAGACGAAACTCCTACAGATTTTGCCAATTACTTAATTTGCAAATTAAGTAAGTTGGTGAGGTAAACCTAAAGGTCAAGATTTTACAACACTTTCAAGTCGAGGCTGTTTAAAAAGTTTCATGACAAAGTTTTAGAGTTGTTTAGATTTCAATGCCATTATTTAAACTTGTATTCCTCCTCTTCAGGCTCTATGCTTTACTACAAACATTATAAGGGTATAACTAACTAAAGATGATGAATATATTTATAAAAAGCAGAGTGGTTTGTATTGCATTGATATTTATTGTTCTATACATACAGTTTTTCACAAAATGAACAAAATTGTAAAAAGTTCCATTTTACAACAAATCGTTAGAACGATATTGAAAGAATTGAACTTGAATAAAACGATATATAGTTTTTCACTAAACAAACAAGTTTTTTGAAGAAAATTTTGAAAAGTATAGTTTTTTTTATTCAAGAACGTTTTTACTGAACAATCTTTCAGTGAGTAAACGAACGAAATTGATGGAAATGAATAATAAGTTTAACCCTATTCCTGCTGGGGGGGGTTATCCTGGTTTTCAAGTACCCCAGCAGAGATAGGGTTAAGAACGAACTAAATAAATTTTTTTATAAACTATTAAAAAAAGTGAAAAGCGCCCACCTCTACTAATCTGTTCTGTAGATTCTTTGATAATAAATCATTTCTATTTCCTAAATTCAGCAACTAAAAGTCTAATGCTAAAAGTCTAATGCTAAAAGGTTTAGAAGATTTAAATTCTAAATACTGAGTGTTTTCTGCATATAAAAAAAATAAACTCTGTTTTTATTTATTCACAAAAAACCTTGCAGCATATAAATATGAAAATAGATTGGTAAAATGCCGCAAAAAACAAAGACGACATTGCATTTTAAACTTGGAACTAAATAAACTAAAAGCGGGCATGGGAGTCACGTCATTCTGTAATTTTCTTTTTTTATTCGTTATACCACTGCAGTTTCAGTAGAAGTAAACATTTCCATTTACTGTTTAGCGCCGATATAAGGATTCATCTCTAATTGGATGATGAGATAGATAGATGTTACCGCCATGCAATTTCTATTGGTTCAGAATAGACAACAAACACATGGCTGAACCCTGATTGGATGAGGCGCTAATGGACTCGGCATACAGGAGTGTTACGGTAACTTTACCCTTTACTACCCAGCTACCCCCTTCATATTTAAAATACAACATTACTCTATTCCCGGGAATCCCGGTTGTAGATTCTACTTAAAAACGACTTATACTTCACTGTGAGTTAATGCTCTCAAGCTCTCAATCAAAAATCTATGAGAATTTTGCCAATTACTACTTACAAACCAAAGCGCGCTAGCAACAAGTGCTATTTAGTGCTAAAATGTCCATGTACAGAAAAGCATTGGTGAGTTAGAGCGGTAAAATTAAAACCAAATGCGTTGCGATACTTTAAAGTAGTAGACACTGTTTTGAAAATTAATGATACTTTTTAGAAGTAGGCTGAATTTATGTGACTTAGAGCTAACATTGATCCCCACTCTTCCAACTTCAAATTTGAAGAAAAATTTGTAATTCTGTTTAATGCTAGTTAAAGGTTAAAAAACTGAAAATACCTCGTTAATATAAGTGTTCCAGCTAATGAGTGGATTTTAGACTTAAATTCTATAAAATACTAAATATATTTTATCATGATAATAACTACAATTCATAGAAAACTTGAAAAAAAAACTCCTTAATTGTCGTTTTCATGGATTTAGTTGAGTTTAGGATATCCTGTTAGTTATATTCATTCTTCATTTATATATATCTAAAGAGAGATGGGCACGTTCCACGTTTTCCATTTCGTTTGTTAATCGTTTGCTAGAAACCCATTTCGTTCCTATTTCATTCCCTTTTTATTTTAATCTTTCTTTCTTGCGGAACGTTCATTTAGTAAAATCATTCATTCCCCCCCCCTGGACAACGCCTTTGAATGTGGCCATTGAAAAAATCCCGTTCGTTAATTGCAAAAGCAAACTTCCCCCCCCCCTCCCCCATCCCCTTACCCCATTTATGGTATCCGGGGAGGGAAATACAGGGTGTCCCATTAAACATGACAGTTGGTAAATAGTTTAAAATGTCTTCTTCAATAATTTGTTAACTTGTTTGATACCAAAGTGACTAATAAAAAATATTTAAGGCAGTCATATTGTGTTAAAATTGATTTCATTTATAGTAATTTATAATTGAGTAATTAAAAAGTTTTTAAAGGAATAAACTGGAAAATGACTTTAATGTTATGTTTCTTAATATTCCTAATTTCCTAATATCCCTAGTTTCCTAATATCATTAGTTTCCTAATATCCTTAGTTTCCTAATATCCCTAGTTTCCTAAGATCCCTAGTTTCCTGATATCCCTAGTTTCCTAATATCCCTAGTTTCCTAAGATCCCTAGTTTCCTAATATCCCTAGTTTCCTAATATCCCTAGTTTCCTGATATCCCTAGTTTCCTAATATCCCTAGTTTCCTAATATCCCTAGTTTCCTAAAATCCCTAGTTTCCTGATATCCCTAGTTTCCTAATATCCCTAGTTTCCTAATATCCCTAGTTTCCAAATATCCCTAGTTTCCTAATATCCCTAGTTTCCTAATATCCCTAGTTTCCTAAAATCCCTAGTTTCCTGATATCCCTAGTTTCCAAATATCCCTAGTTTCCTAATATCCCTAGTTTTCTAATATCCCTAGTTTCTTAATATCCCTAGTTTCCTAATATCCCTAGTTTCCTGATATCCCTAGTTTCCTAATATCCCTAGTTTCCTGATATCCCTAGTTTCCTGATATCCCTAGTTTCCAAATATCCCTAGTTTCCTAATATCCCTAGTTTTCTAATATCCCTAGTTTCCTAATATCCCTAGTTTCCTAATATCCCTAGTTTCCTAATATCCCTAGTTTCCTAATATCCTTAGTTCCTAAATGATTTGAGAATGCAATATATAAACCACCTGCTTGGGCACCCTTTACCCTCAATCAAGAGACAATAATTATAGATAGGTGTACTAATTCTATCCTACCCTTGAAATATATATATATGTATAAACAATATTTATAGGTAGGTGTACCAATTCTATCCTACCCTTGGAATATATATATACAAACAATATTTAGAGATAGGTGTACCTTCTATGCTATCCATGGATTATATACATATATAAACAATATTTATAGATAGGTGTACCATCTATCCTACCCTTGGAATATATTCAAATATAAACAATATTTTTAGATAGGTGTACAAAGAGAAAATGTTCACAATGGAAAGATGGGCGCGAAGCGCCATAAAAGCCTAGTTTATATATTTATAAACCATATAGATAAGTGTACCTTCTATCCTAAACTCGGAATATCTGAAAACAAGCGAACATTTTAAGATCATAAAACTTAATAACTTTAATTCATTTGGAACTATGTTTTTTGATTTCCGAAAATTCAATATTTCATGTCTGCCCTATTCTTGCCAGATTTGTTAAAAATAGTTGAATCATAAAGGATTTGTTCGAAGAATAAGAATTTTGAGGTGGCTCGGGCAAATTAACTATTGGGACTTCCCCCCCCCCCCCTCTCTGTTAACAGAATTTCTAGAAAAACTTTTATATATTTGTTTTTTATATATCTGTTTGTCATTTCAATCAAAATGTTAGGTTTTGTTTTGAACAGTATTGTTTAATGTACTCCTATTTCTAAACATTGTCTATTTGAGTATTCCAATACTTTATATTCTATTAGTAAGTTTAAGGAATTCCAGTTTATATATATATGAGGAACAGACCTCAAATATGTCTGTGGCTAAGATTGATTGAGCATAACTAAGAGGCCATACTTTTTTACTTCTAATTGATTTTGGAGATTTAAAAGGCTGTACACCAAAATCAGCAAAGGTAATATAATTTCAATACTGTATTGTTCAGAATGACAAAATGCAATATTATTAGTTGCTTTGGAACCCAGGTTTTCCTGGAAAATAATTTGTCTCTTTAAACTTGAATTGTTAAACCAAGCTAAAAAACATCTCCGTAAATGAGATACAAAGATTGAAAGCAAATCAGTCTGGGGGTTCATGAGTTTTGATTGGACATAAAACAGACAAACGACAGACAACAGGAGAAACCTCTGTGAGCGCCTTTTATATTTCCAGTTTGAAGGGATGAGTTTAGGATTGGTTCTGTTAATAGTCTGTAGAGTTGGATTGAGTTCAGAGTGTAGATGGAACTATACCAATCCAGGGCCGAGGGTAAGCATTTAAATGTAGCACCACGGTGGACTAGGGTCAATTTGAATTTGAACCGGACCAACTCCTTGTACTGGCCTTAGTGACGCACGGCATGTACCGGCTCGACCTTATCCAAAGTTGGCCTGGTTTAATGGCGCGGCCAGACTTTTTACAGTACTCGCCCTATCATAAGCATATTTGATCTACCCCTGTTGCTTAGTTTAGTGTGGCACAAAAAGAATAAATACCACCTGGTGGTCCCCTTTATAAGTTTCTATGTTCTTACAAAAATGTGACACAACTGGGATACTATTTATGTTGCCAGATCCACTTTTAACATTTTCCAGACAAATGCATGGTAGTTGAACTGAGATTGTAGCTTTATTGAGATATTTTTTAGGATTCATTTGAGATGCATATTTGCATATTTGTTCAGCAAGAGCGCATGTGCATTTATTAAAATCCTCATAGATTGCACATTTTGGAGAGATGATTTTGAGAATTGCTTAGGAACAGGATGAGAAGATAAAAAATTACTGTTATTATCGAAAATTAGTAATCTTATTGAGTCTCATTGTTAAAACCCATTTTCTGAAGATTTCCTGGAACTTTTAATGAAAAGTTTACAATTGAAGAATTTGAAAAAAATAAAGAATGAGAAAAACAATATAATGATGACTAAGAAACAATTGATTCTAACATTGATTTATTGAAAATTTCGAATAAGAAATCCGTTCCTAATTAAACATATAATTAGTTTACTTTAGAAATTTTATCACATTTTTCTTCGTCGTTTTAGAAAAATTTTTATAGAACCGATTCTTAAAATTATACATCCAAAATGGATAATCAATAAGGTTTTAAATATTGAATTTGCGCTCTTCCTGAACAAATATGCACTGTAAAAACATCTAATAGGTCAAAAATAAATCCTAAAAATTTCTCAATAATTCTGCAATCTCAGTTCAACTACCATACATTGCTGGTCATTCCCTTTAAGGATTCTCTAATGGACTTCTTGCCTCTGTTTGTCTGTTACTTTCACATGTTTAAACAAAATTTAAAAAAATAAAGCTGAGATTGAATTACAATAAAGATTGTAAATATAATATGAACTTGTTCTGCTGTTTAGTATGCAAATGTACCGGCTAGCCTGTCTGTGAGTCCAGGACAAATATCTAAAAACCAGTTTCTCCACGTGGACTTTACCAGCACTCAGGAGCTAGACTCATTCAGGTGCGTGCAGACCATCAAAAACACAAATGGTGCACAGTGCGCTGTTTTAAATATACTTACTCATCGTACCACTAGTCAGATGAGAGCGTGTTTGTTCACACTAGTCCGATCTTCTCGATTGGGATTGGAGAGGATTAAGTGCTATATACTCTGCGTAGTGAGAATTCATACCCTCTCATCCGACTGATACGTGTTACAATATTTAAAACAGTGTATGCATAGACTCAAGCTGTGTTATATACCTTATTTAATGTTCAGAGATGGAATTTAAAGAATTTGAGCCACCGTTTAAATCCACCAAAATCCGGGTTAGATTAAACGCCGGCTTAAATCTTGAAACATTTGATACAATTTTAAGTGGGACCAACCATATTTAAACCGCCGCTCAAATTCTTTAAATTCGGCCACTGGTTTATTCTATTGTATCTCAAGCTGGATCCAGTACAGTGGTTCCAGGGAGGGAGTGTCGCCAGGATTTAGTCTTAATAATTATGGAAAACAAATATTTTCTTTCTTTAATCACATTGTGCATAAAATGATTGTACTTTCTAGAATTGGAGTTTTAAATGGAAACATGGAATCCATCGGGACCATTTACCCACCTTACCCCCCACAGTTTATGCATCTCTCTCAACTACAGGTTCAAGATTGCTGGGCAGTCAACACTAAACTTCAGGTATTAAAAGGAATGTTCACAACTTTTGTTTGGTTTCCATTATTGGAAGATGTTATGAAGACAATAAAACCTTTCTTCAAAGTCCAGTTCAGAAGCCGCAAAGCAGTTCAGTCCATTTAAGACTTGGTTTAGATTAATTTTATGAAACAGGCATGAGTTAGAAACAAAAGGTATAATTTAATTCAGAATTTTTTATTTCTTAAAATTCAAAAAATGTTTTTAACCCTATTCCCGCTGGGGGGGGGGTCAATTTGACCCCCCCCTGTAGTTTTTTTTACATAACTCAAAAAGTATTGGTCTGAGGCTGTTGAAATTTTCTGACTTTTCTTACATACCCAAAGCCCTCCCTTTAGGCCTAAAACCGGGCTTTAATACTAACTGCCTGAGTCCTCAGCCACACTGCCTGAATGACTGCTTTTGCCTGTAGCAAACTAAATCTTTGTTTTGACCCACTTTCACTTGTCAGATTTTGATAAAATTTAGCTTTTTGGAAAGCCTATGACATAAGGAAACGGATTGCACAAGTTTTGCGAAAAAAAATTGCAATTTTTTTGCAAACAACCTGTCAAAGGAAATTTGCACATTTTTAGTTTTTCTTGATTAAAAATCAGGTTATTTAAAATTTTGCAAAAATTTTTGCATATTTGAAATGGCATGGTCAAGAACTTTTCAAAAATGTATAACTTTTCATTTTTTGGACAAATTTTTTTTTGCAAACATTTTTACTATAAAACTGGATTTTGCGATAAAAAATTCAATTTTCGCAAATTTGCAAATTTTTTTGCAGATTCTAAAAGTAGAGCACAAGAGCTTTCTAATGATGTATCATTTGTCATATTTGGACATAAAACATGGGATTTAGAGGGGGGGGTCAAATTGACCCCCCCCCAGCGGATCCTGGTTTTCAAGTACCCCAGCGGGGATAGGGTTAATTAAAAGCAATCCCTCACTCTAAATTTGACAGAAGTAGAAAGTAAAATGCATGCAACTTCTATGGTACAGCGTTGTGACCTCATAGCTCCTCTTTCTCCAATTTTAATTTTAAGCACAAATATGAGAAAACATTTGTTTTGGTTATTTATGAAAAATTAAATATTTGTTCTTCAATGCTCTTTAATTTTGAAGAAGTTATGATCAAAAACAAATATGAATTCAGTCTTACGTATAATTTACTTTAGTTTGACATGCTAAAATTAAAATTATTTAAGTAAAAAGAATCTTGATGTAATTTTTAGTTAATTTTCACAAACCTGATGTACCTTAACGAAACATTGACTAACCATTCGTATATGTAGAAACTTAGTGCTTGTAAAGAATAATTTTCTTTTATAATCAGAAAAAGAAATTAAAATGTTTAACAAAAAGTATTTTTTAGTTGAGGTCCTTCAATAAAAATTGGGACTGTGTTTTCATTTTCTTAATGTAAAGAACTTATTTTTTTGTTTTAGAATAGATATCTTTGGTTTCAATGGGCAGATCCTGAATACACAGGAATTGTAAAGGTATTATCAGTATTACTAAAGAGGCTGTACAATTTATTCCAAGTGAACCTCAATGACAAGAGAAAGATGCTCAATTTACTAAGGTACCCCTTAAAAAAGAGAGATCTTTCAAAAAACACTTGAATCCCACTAAATCGTGTAGTATGCTGTGTACATTGTACAATTTGACCTCAACACCACAGACACGCTACATTCCAAACATTTGTAAGAAAGTAGTAATTTTCTATCTATTGTAGAAAGTGAATATTAAAATGTTTAAAACCTAAATCAGCTTGCAAACAAAGAGTTCAACAATTAAGCTTGTTTTTGTGGATTGATGAGAAGCTGGACAATGGTGATGAGTTGATAACAATATGCATAGAATGTAAGGCAGATTGAATTGACCGGCCCGCCCAATTATATTATTATACATGCTTTGCAGACGGGTACTCTATTTGAAAAAGAGTTTTTTAAAGGTCGTCTTATAATTTTTTAAACGTGCTTTCAAACAAATCCAATTTTTATATTATAAAAAAAATACACTTGTATTGCTTATATTTTTGCATCCCAAAAAAAGTATTTGTTTGGGTTGTTCAGCCTAATTTTTTCCCCTGTTTAATGTATACAATAACCTATTCTGAACACATGTATGCGGTATTTGTACATTAGACAAATATTCCTTATTCAATTGAAGTTCCGTCTGCAAAGCATGTATAGCATGTATAATCATATATTCTGACTTTCTTTCAACTTTGATGGCACGACCAGACTTTTAACAGAACCCGGCCTATCGTAGGCCTGTTTGACTTACCCCGCTAGGTTATTTTAGTGCAAGGTTATAATTCAAGGAAAGTTAATTGCATTTGCGTAGACTCTGCGTACATATTGAAACCAGTTCTGTGTGGGCGGAATTCGTAAACAGGAATAGATGCATCAGTGTTCATTCAATATCCGAGGATGTTAAAAGCATTAAATTTTGATAATTTTGAAAATTCACAGAATAGTTTCCTATGACCAGAATATTCATTGATTTGTTATGTAAAAGATGTATCCCATGTCAGGCTTCGACATCTATCTTGTGTTTACATTACAGCCCTGAGAGAGTACTATGCAGTACAAAAGATGTGTACACCTCTGAAATTCCTTGCATTATAACCTTGGTTTTTTTTAGAGCTAAAGCAAATTGGGCAGTATGAATACAGACTATAAAAGTCAGAACGGAACAGGACACCAAGGGAATTAATTATCTCCATCTCACAATTGGATTTTTTGAAACATTTTTTCATAAAGGGGCGATTAAATTCTAAATTATTATGAATGCATGTATTGACACCAAACTAACTAATGTAATATTGATTATTGGAAATGGTTTATCATTATACAACAATCAACATATCTCAGATATCATATTCATTACAATAACAAAAGTACAATATAAGAGGTTAATAAACTTTTGTTAAAAATTGTCTCAAGATGATTGAATAAGAAGTTTTAATGATTGTCCAGCTTTCCGGGTTCTGATGGTGTTATAATAACATTTAAATGAATTTAGAGGCAACTTTTATTTATGATAGAGTTTCCATGAAACATTTTTATGTTAAAGAACAAACATTTTAGGAAAAAATAATCCTTTAAACTCACTATGTTACACATGACATTAAAATACCAGAAAAGGATTAAATACAGTGATAAACAGAAAACTCTGGATCAGAGGAAGTCGTCTTATATACTCAAGTTACAATTTAAAATAATCCAATGTGCTTGAGAGACAACATTTTCTATTGTAAACAGGCCCATTTCACTTAATAAATGATTTGATAACTTAGTAGTAAAGCTATTTGCTTTGTAACAGCATCAAATGCACTCCAGTATTACTTTAATGTCGTCTTCCTATTCTACAGTTTACTGGTTGTCACTGTACTTAAATCAGGTAATGATATAAACATAAAAACACATATTTATATCACAAACTATTTTCTGATTTCAGGTTGTTGGGGAGGTAGTACAAGGAAATACAACATATTCTCTACCTACAGTTTATGCATATATAAATTATGATCCAATAAGGAAGGTTCTAGCCTCATTATCTTATCAACTCAACTAGAGTAAGATCTTGGTTTTTGAAAATGGTTTGTGCTATGTTATTTTTTTATCAGCCAAAAAGGTTTGTTTATTTTTAAAATAATGGTTGTTATTAATGTTTACCATTTTTTTATTGTTGGTTAACATGTGTTTCATAACAATGATAAATTGCCAATGATAAACTTTCTTTCTAATTTTTGGACTTCTAAAAGGCATTTGACAATCAGGTTTTGTACTTGCGATTCAAGACTTAAACAATTACGTCATCAAACGAATTCATAGTAAACAGCCCCCTTTTCATATTATGTAATAGAACCCTGATTTAGGCCTATATTTGATCCGTCTCTAGAGAATTCAACTCAGTTCCTAGAAAATGGTAAGTATATTATGTTAATCAAGAGAACAGAAAAGTATACAGAAATTTTAAAAAACCCATGCAACAATCCTTTTAAATATTCTGAATCAGCAGATACCAGTTCTACAATAAACCAGGAGACAAGCACTGATGATGATTTTCCCAATTTGGAAACAAATCTGGAGCAGTAAGTTTCAAATTTTTCAAATAACTGTTGATTATTATGTTTATTTCACTAAACATAAAACTGATTTCGTGAAATATATTTAGGGTTGGTATTTTTCAAATTAACAAATTAAACTTTTTCTTGAAAATTGTGGTGAAAAACAATCTTTTTACTTTAACAAACATCACTTGTTAACAACCAAAACCAATCTCAAAAATATAAAATACTAAAAAATATCAAATAAGATTTTGACAGAAATGAACAATCCAACTCAAAGCCCTCCTTAACAAAAATTTAACAAACAAATTTAAAAATCAAGAATCATTCTCAGCCCTAGAAATATTTTGGCTTGTTTAACAAGCTGCTTCTTAACATAATAATGATAAAATAAAAAATTACTAAAACAAAGCCTGCCTTTTGTGTGATTTAAATTCATTTGAAAAATTATTGTGGTAAATGAAGACGACTTCTCATAAATATACAGTGCTCCCCAAAATAAAATAAAGTTGTCTTCATTTTCCATGTAATTTACCATATTATTTTGGAGAGCATTAAATACTGAAGAGAAGTCGTCTATGCTTACCATATTATTTTGAGGGGCACTGTATATTTATGTGCAGTCGTCTACATGTTCCATTTTATTTTGGGGAGCACTGTATATTTTTGAGAAGTTGTTTTTATTTACCATATTATCATGTATGAATGTTTAAGGTGAAGAAAAATTTACAATTCTTTTTATAAACCAAATAGACCATGAATCAACCCCCCACACGAAATTTTGGTTTATTTACATATCCCTTTTCCACGTACTGCACCGAATAACAATGATCAGTGTTGTTGATTAAGCTAAATACACACGTCAGCGTACATTTTCCTCCAAATGTCCTGACGGGTTTGAAAAGAGTAGTGTTCGTACTTTGATTAGATATATCAAAAATAACTGACAAAATATCAAAAAAAAGATACAGTTTACAAACACTTAATTTTAATGAGGTGCTAACCCTATCTCTGCTGGGGTACTTGAAAACCAGGATATGCTGGGGGGGGGGGTTAATTTGACCCCCCCTCTAAATCCCATGTTTGATGTCGAAATATGACAAATTATACATCATTGGAAAGCTCTTGTGCTCTACTTTTAGAATCTGCAATAAAAATTGCAACTTTGCAAAAATAGAATTTTTTATCGCAAAATCCAGTTATAAAGTAAAAATGTTTGCAAAAAAAAAATTTGTCCAAAAAATGAAAAATATATACATTTTTGAAAAGCCCTTGACCATGCCATTTCAAATATGCAAAAATTTTTGCAAAATTTTTCTAATAATAGAAATCATAATTAAAATTTTAAAATAAAAATGGTGTTGGGTGCTTTCCAAAAGGCATTTTCCCCAGGGCGACTTCCCAAGTGACAATTTTTCCGTAGGCAACTTCTCTAATGTGCAATATCCCAAGCGGCACCTTCCCAAAGGTTAGGTTAGGCCCTATGAGACGATGCAGGTGCAATGGGGGCCAAGTGATGCAGATAGAATGGGCTAGGGGGCCAAGCGCCGTGGCTAGAACAGGCTTGAGGCTGAGGGCTGCGGCTAGGACAGACTTGAAAAGTTGCCACTTGGGAAATTGCACATTTGGGAAATTGCCACTTGGGAAATTGCACATTTGGGAAATTGCCACTTGAGAAATTGCACATTTGGGAAATTGCCCCCTAGGAAAAATCCTTTGGGAAAGTACCTGACATCAAACTATTTAATGACGTCTTTACTAATCCATCTAATTGAGATACATTAAAAATAAACTTTTAATGACATCTTTCCATTATAGATACATTCTAGAAATACATTCTAACTGTAACTTTTCGTTGACGTCTTTAACATTGCTTCCAACAGAGTCACATCATCACATGCTTAAATATTTTATACTAGATCTTTTACGAACCTTCAAATATTTTTTTATTCTCAAGAGAAAAGTCTAAAGAATATCTTTTTAGAGATGAGTTTGGTCTCAAATCTGACAATTCTACAATTATTCAACTTACATATGCAAATCACACACTAGGTAAATGTTAACTGACAATCCTTTCAAACGAAACGGATTATAAGAAGAATTTTTGAATTAATATATTATTCTTATAGTTAAAAAGTTGATTCCTTCCACCATTGAATCAGCTGATCCAGAGAAGTCACCTGATTTAGCAAAGTCAGCTGATTTAGCAAAGACAGTTGAATTGTCTGAACCCTACCAGAAGATGGAAGCTGAAGTTGGGGCCTGGAAGAATAATGCCGCAAATAATTCACTACATGTTTATTTTGTAACTTTATTTTTTTCCGGATTTTATTGTTTTAATAAGATATTTCAATGAGAAAACGGGTGTGCCTGCTGGTCTTTAATCAAATGTATTTTTTTTGTTTGCATAATTATCTTTTCATTTTGTGTTGACAACAATAGCTATTGTTGCTGATTGTATGGCAGTGGCTGGTTTTAACAACTCCGAACCATTAGCCATCTGCTGGTTTTAACAATATGTGCCATTTTTTTAGAATTTTTAAGCATATCATTTTTTAGGAACAACCACTTTTTCTGCAAAGTGAAATACATGCGTTATTTTAAAAATATGTGATGTAATTTAATTTAAACTAACCAAAAAATAAATAATTTTTAGAATCATAAAATTTAGATAAACTGTATGAAATTATTTAAAAATATCAATCAGTCGTATATCATTGAGGTTCTAATAATAGACTACTTTATTCATGGATGCTATATTTTTAGCTCCTTCAGTTAATTTTTAGCACCTCTAATTGATTTTGAACATGTATAGTTGATTTTTAACACCTTTAGTAGATTTTGAACAAATTGTTGATTTTTTAAACCTCTTATTGATTTTAGACCAATATAGTTGATTTTGAAAACCCCTCATTGATTCTAAATACAATGTTTAACTTTAAATATTTCTTGTTAATTATGAATAATTTTTTTGATTTTTAGTATTTTTGGTTGATTTTGAACACTTCTAGTTGATTTTAAACACCTTAAATTTATTTTGAACACCTTCATTGATTTTGAATATCTCTGGTTGATTATAAGCCCTTTTAACTAGTTTTGAACCATTCTGATTGTTTTTGAGTACCTTAAGTTGATTTTTAACACCTCTAGTTGATTTTTAACACCTCTAGCTGTTTTTAACACCTCTAGTTGATTTTTCACATCTCTATTTTATTTAGAGCACCTACATTTGATTCTAAACACTCTCGTTGATTTTGAACTAGCTTCTTCAGTTGATTTTGAACACCTCTAGTTGATCTTGAATCAGTTGATTTTAAACATGTTTGTTTTTGTATGACGAAAGATGAACATTGAAAACTTTTTTGTCAAATATTTTGTCTAAGTTATTTTATGTTATTAACAGAATGTTTAGAATTCAATTTGCTGATGGTGTAAAACCAAGGCCGCATGATTAGTCGGGTTACTCTAAATGTACTCCAATGACTCCAATGTGCGGAAAACGTCGTCTCCTAAGATAGATAGATAAAAAACCTAATTTGACATCACTCTCGCATCTATAATCAGTTACGTCATGGTTTTTATCTTTCTCTCTTATGAGGCGACATTTTCCTCAGATTGATATTAAATAGATATTTTTATTTTTTTTATTTTAACAATGATTTATGAATTTAAATTCTAGCTTAGCTTTTCATAGCCCAATTCACTTTCATATCATGTTTCTTTTGCATTATTGAAGATAGGTTATACAGTGGCCGAATTTAAAGAATTTGAGCGGCGGTTTAAATTTAAGCCGCGGTTTAAACATGGTTTGTTCCACTTAAAACTGTATCAAATGTTTCAAGATTTAAGCCGGCGCTTAATTTTAACCGGGTTTTGGCGGATTTAAACCGCGGTTCAAATTCTTTAAATTCCATCTCAGATCTATTAAATTTTAAAAGTAATTTAAACCAAATCTCAGTTGATCGAATGGTAGTATGATTCACAAAGGTACCCTGATATGTTTTGTCTAGAAAAACGAAGATATTTTCCACATTGTTGATCAGATGAAGGTACGTGTACACTGAATTCAAAAGCTGCAAGCTCTTACGGAAAAATCGATGAGAATTTTGATAACTACTTTTTTTAAAGACAAAGGCTAAAAACATTGATGCAAAATATTATATTATGTCATTATTCTTTTGACTTTGATATTTAGCACACAATTTTATAAAATAAAAACGTATACTAATATATTTGCCGTTCCTAAATGAATGTGGTTTTTACATTAACCTTATTCAAATATTTAATCTAGTAAAACAGGAAGCATGTTAACACTGTTAAAAGTACAGGGTTACACCTCTCATATCTCTGGGAACATTAGTTTTTGTATAATGTACAGACAAACATGGATTTTTTTTATGAAAACCCTTGCTAGAAAATCTTCACTAACATACGTAATGGTTAAAAATTAGCAGAAATTTTCCATTTTATTTTTTTTATTGACAACCGGGAAAACTTTGACCGTTAACTAAAAAATTGGTTAAAGTCAAAAATATTAAAAAGACACTGTAAAAAAATCATGTTTTTGCTTAATCTATAATTGCAAATTCGAAAATAAATGAGTATGGCCTATACGTACTCCATATACATACAGGGTGTTCCACGAAACATGACAGTTGGTGAATAGTTTAAAATGTCTTTTTCCATTATTTGAGAAGTTATTTGATACTGATTGTTATATTATAGTAAAATTGATTTCACAGTAAGATACAGGGTGTCCCACGAAACATGACAATAGCAAGACGACTTGAAAGTCGTCTTTGGTATTTGAATTTATTTGTGACATTTAGTCTTCTATCTACTTTAACATGTATGATTCTTGAAACAATTAGCACATAATTCTCCTAGCCCTGCCATTTCCAAAAAGTGGTCTGCGTTTTTTGTGCTTTCAATATTACCGTAGATATAAAGAGTTTGGTTCAGATTTCAATTTTGTCAAATAAAAGCAAAATTGTCGAAATCTGAACGAAATTCTTCATATCTCGGGCAATATTAAAAGCACAAAAAAGGCAGACCACATTTTGGAAATGGCAGGACAAGGGAAATTTTGTGATTATTATCTTTAGAAATCTACTTCTAAAACTAGGTTGACAAATAAACGCAGCAAATTATATCAAAAATCAAGACGACATTCAAGTCGTCCTGCATACTGTCATGTTTCGTGGGACACCCTGTATACATAAGTTAAACAATAAAGAAATAAACTGCAAAAAGTCTTTAATTTCAGATATCTAATACGTATGTGGAAGAAGAGATTCAAAATTATTCACCGACTGTCATGTTTCGTGGAGCACCCTGTACATCCCAGATGAAATATAAGAATAAATAACAAGAGTGCATTAAATGTCGTCTTGAAATTACTTAAAGAATATATGACAGACGTAATGCTTCATCATTGGTCTGCATAAAAAGAAAGCTGCTAAAATGTTCGCAGCTGCAAAGGGTTGAATACCATTTATGACAATATATCCAAATATCATTGCCGAGTCATCATTTTTTTGATCATTCTTAAGAAACTGCTTTTTATTTTTAATTCAAGATAAATTAATAGCTCTGTAACATGTAGGAGAGTAATTGATTTTGTGTTCCGAAATAAATCTAGCACCCCCTCACTTAAATCCTATAATGTCCAATGCGGTTTTCCTGAATTAAAAAAAAACATTAAACAAAGCTAGTGTATTGAATAGTTCAAATGCCAATGACCGGCCGGGTACGGTAAAAGGTCTGGCCGCAACATCAAAGTTAAAACCGAGCCAGTACAGTACAGGGTCGGGCCGGTACTTGCCGTACAGTACAAGGGGTCGGTCAGGCTCGAATTCAAATTGACCCTACTCCACCATGAAAATTTGAATGATCTTATTCATTTTCCAAACTTCTTGAAAGTCAATGTTAAAATTTTAAATTTTTTTTTTAACATCTTGCATGTTGCAAACAAAGCCATCGACAATTACTAGAGAAATGAGAATTAGTCACATGTTTAAGGGGTATCGGACATGCCACTTTAAAACAGTCCCTTTAATTGCCTACAAGGAATCAATTTATTGAATTAGGGTTTCTTACAAGAGCACTTATCTAATCTTTCTTGAACAGGAGATTCCGTTCAATTAAATAATACGAGATACTACAATTCTATTATGTTTTTATTTCGATAAATTGCCTTATGTAATACAGGGTGTCGGCCACGAAACATGAGAGTTGGTGAATAGTTTTGAATATCTTCTTCAATATGCTGCGATTATAAGTTAAAGACTTATCGCAGTTTATTTCGTTAAAAAATGCTTTTACTCAAATTTACTATTTTATGAATGCCATATAATATTTTTAATTATTCTCTTTGGTATCAAATATCTTAACAAATTATGGAAGAAGACATTTAAAACTGTTTACCAACTGTCATGTTTCGTGGGACGTACATCCATCAATTTGCCACAGAGTGGAACCATTTATACTGAAAATGAAAAGACGACGGTTAACCCTATCCCTGCTGGGGAACTTGAAAACCAGGATACGCTAAAGGGAGGTCAATTTGACCCATCCTCCCTCTAAATCCCATGTTTGATTTCCAAATATAACAAATGATACATCATTATGCTCTACTTTTAGAATCTGCAAAAAACTTTGCAAATTTGTGAAAATTGTAATCTTTTTTTGATAAAACCAATTATATATTAAACAAAATAAAAGTGTCCAAAAAATGATAAAATAAATGTTTTTGAAAAACCCTTTTATTCTATTTATTGATAGTTTCAATATTTGTTTTAAAACTCAAAATAAAATTTATTTCATCAGAAGTGATAAGATGTGCTTCACCAATAGGGATAGGAAATAACTAACTTTTTTTATTTCTTTTTATTTTTCATAAACTTTAAAATATTTTGGACATTTAAAATGACTCTAAAGTTGTGAAAGAGATTCCAACATTGTATTATGTAAAAATGTAATTTTGGCCATGCCAAATTTTATCCAAAAAAAGAATTTAAAAAAATAAAAAAGATCCTTTTCTTGCACAAATCTTCTGTCAACATTTGGCATAGTGTTAGAATAGCGAATGTTTAGAATAAACAATTTTAAATATGTAAAACTTTGTATAATTTGCAAGTAAAAAATTTTGTAAAGATATTGGCAATCACTACTCTACACTCTACGTGTATACAGGGTGGTTTTTAAACACGATATTTTTAGGGATGCATTCATAAACCTTTTGTAGTATTAAAAGAATAGCGCTAAAATGCGCAAATCTAGTTATTTTTTATTCAAAGCTACAAATCTACAAAGCTACGGTCTCTCATGAACAGAATTAAACTTAAATTTAAACTTTGAAACTTTATTTGTTGGGTGCTACAAAGTAGAACATTTTCAAAATAACCATACTATTTTTGCAAAAAACACTTAATGATTAATTGGTTGAAATTTTTTTCTTTTTTCTAAATTTACAACATTATTAATCTAAATCCTTTTGGTTAGGCTGCAGGAATAACTCAAGTATAAAAGTTATCATAATGGATATCATGGCTATCACTATGACGAATAATGCGTGTAAGAGCGAAACTATGAATTATTAGAAATTTCGAGAGCGTTTAAGGAGTAGGTTGATGATGATTGGTTTAATCCCTCTGCGGTTGGTATAAAAGAAGGAGAAGAGAAGAGAATGGTTCAGTTGTTCTCCGACTCTTCTCCGCTCTAGACCAAGGTAGAGAATAATAAAGAGATTCAACTAAACCAATAAAAGATAACTAATGTCCCCCTCCCCTCTATCTAATCAATGCGCTTAGTACTGAGAAGGGGTGGGTTGGGGGGGGGGGGATATCTGTAATTCACAATTGGAACATTAAAGTGAAAAAGCAAAGTAAAAAATATTAAAAAGTAATGCAAAAAAGCAAAGCTAAAAACATTGAAGCAAAGGGTGCAATACAGGTTGTTTCAGAAATATCTCTTCTGCATATACACAGTCCAAACAAAGAAACACAAAAAAATCGTTAAAAGATACAAAATTGGACATGAAAAAATTCGTACATTTGAACATTCAGAAACCTAAAATAACATAAAATTACATACTTTAAGCTTATCAAAACAAAAACAGCGGTTTTATAAGCATCTTTGAATGTCCATATTCACTATACATGAATATATAAAAAAAAATGTTGGACTGTTTCGATGTTTTTTTTTCAACAAAGTTTTAAGTTATATGGTATATATAAATTCACAAAAAAGTTGCTATAAAATTAAATTAAAGAATTTCAGAGGAAAATAAAAATACGTTAAATTAATTCAATCTGTGGTCCACCCGCCCTCAGCAAACACAACATATTGTTTAATTAGGATAATGTTAATTTTAATCTACTCTATATAGAACAAATACATATTTTTTAAAAAATGCCCTAATCATGATAATATTTTTTGAAATAAAGGGACTCCCATTTATGGAGAGGCATGCCTAGTTCACAATGGAACCCTTTCAACCGTTATCTGTTACGTCCATATATTCCTATATATACTATTTAGTATGAATACAGTGTTCTTGGTTCTAAGCTGTTTAACTGGACTATCGTACTGCTACTACCTTCCATCAGAGGATTCTACGGATCAAAGGTATTTCACTTTCCTGTACAGAACGGGTGTATAATTTTATAAAAAATCAATTTGATTTTTTTTTTACGTGGCAGCGGAGCGCAAATTTTTGTTTAGGGTTTTTCTTGCTAAATTGGGGAGTATAAAAATTGTTGGTTAAAAAGTATGCAAAAGGATGAAAAACTTAACTTTGCATTTACCTTTTTTAATTTTTTCCTTCAGATCTTCAAAAATCATTTATCTTATATAAGCTCCGTATATTACATATTAGATTTCTATAAAGTTAAACCCTAAATAAGCCACACATCGAAAGAATTCATCAAATGTCGTATTCTTCACTTTCTGATAATGGAATGTTGCAGATATTTAGTTTTTTAATTAAATAATTATATGGAGCTGTTCCCGCATGTTTATGGCTATTTATCTATTTTCGCAAATGCTGAGATTTACGTAAAATAGTATAAAACCCATTGAAAAATTGTCAAGACGACATTTAATAAATTCGTTCGATGTATAGCTCATTTAGGGTTTAACTGTATTATATTGAATAATCTAATTTTCAACTTTGTACAACGAATAATACAGAAAAAAATAAATTTTCTTAAAGTCTAATCAAAGCCTTGGCTAAAGCCTTTCATAATTTAGGAATCTAAAATGATGTATAAAGTTTTCCTGAGAAATAGAAATTGCGGCATTTCTTTACAAATCTAGCAAAACGATTATTTTCAACTTTATCAAGAATTTCTAAATGAATAATTCAAAGGGATATCAAGTTTCTGAAAAAAGTATTCTAAAAAAATAAAACATTAGCCACAAATTCAAATAAACTTTTCACTATATCTTTGCAAGCTGGTATTAAAAAAACTTTTAAATTTCAAAAATTGGTCACAAATTAACTATAGTTTGTTTTTTGACAACAGACTGCAACTTGCAAGTAGAAATAATTAGCGTTTGTTGCAACTCAGCAGGCGCGCAACTATGGGGGGCATGCCCCCTCCTTGTCTGATTAAGGGGTGCATGTCCCCTTAAGACAGCTTGCTACTCCCTGTAGAGGGGGGGGGGGAAAGTCCTTAAAAAGTTTTTAAAAAATAGCAAATTTTTTTTTTAATTCTACACGCTTTAAGCAAACTTAAATTAAATTATAACGCTTTTCATTGTAAGCTCATATTCCTTTTTTTTCCCCTTTCTATAAAAATGCCTCCACCAGACTTAAATTTGCCCCTTTATTTTGAATGTTGGAATTTGTAACCTTTGTTTTTTTAGAATACCACAAAATAGTTTTAATTTGCACCTCTAAATTTAATTTTTTTTATTCCAAAATGTTTTATAAATACAACCAACTTTAAAATTTACAAATCTATCTAAAAAACATGACGTTATTATTTTTTGATAATGCTAAAAAAAAATTCAGATGTTTTGCCCCCAACAAAAAAATATACCTTAGTTAAAAAAATGCCTCTTTATATATTTTAAAAAAGTCTCAAATAAAAGATTAGACTCCAAATGCAAAATAAATGTTTTAGATTTCCCATAAACAAAAATCACCAAACTGAAGAAAAGCCCCCCAAAAACAAAGATTTGAGATTTCCCCAAAATTCCAAGCTGTTAAATCCATATTTTTTAGTTAATAACTATTCAGTCTCATTTTTGGTCTTATAATTTCATGTTTTAAAGCAGTATACTGCTATTAAAGTGAGATGGACTAAAGTTCAATTTACTTAAACCTGAATTAATTCAGAGGGATAGATCATTATGATTATAGTGAAATGGAATTATTTTATAAATTAGTATAAAATAAGCATTTGGCATTTTAAATGTTAATACAAATCACCAAAACATTAACTAATACTGCAATAAAATCTATGATAAAATAAAATAAAATAGGAATAATCAAAATCATTTTTTGATCTTTTTAGGGAATTCTTGGAACAGGTGAAGTATCATCCAATCGACTACTCGGAGTTCCAGGTATTAAACCTTGTTATTTTTCTTAGTTTTTCTCCTTGAGTTCCAGGTATTAAACCTTGTTATTTTTCTTAGTTTTTCTCCTTGAGTTCCAGGTATTAAACCTTGTTATTTTTCTTAGTTTTTCTCCTTGAGTTCCAGGTATTAAACCTTGTTATTTTTCTTAGTTTTTCTGCTAGAGTTTGTTTGCTACAAATATTTTGGGAAAGGAAGCGCAAATTTTTGCTTTCTTTGCGATACATTTTTGTGCGAAAAAAACCCTGCGTATTCATTCGCAAACTTGATCTTGCAAAAAATTGCGCTATACCGTTTTCGCGTTATTTTGTTTTGCGCAATTATGTGAAACAGATTCTCATTTATTGGTGGATTAAAGGTGTAGACTGTATAAATTTGTTTTCTGTGAGATTGCATTTTTTTGCATATAATTGCAATGCTTAAAAAGGAACTGATTTATTGTCTCTACTTTGCAACCTGATGCGTGATGGTGCACTGCAAATCAAGATGTGTACGCTCTCACACAAAAATTGAGCAGTATTTTGCCAATTACTCCTTTTAAATTTTATGCGCCTTGCTTTTCAAGCAAACCGGAGTTTTCCATGAGAACAAATTTTAACTTGGTTAAATTTAAAATGTGTTGCTTGTTTAGGAAATCCTGCCCTACTTGTTTGCTCGAGGGCGTAGGCAGGACAAGCTTAGGAATGGCCGAGGAGGGGATGAGACTGCATTCAAAGAATTCTCCAGAGTGTAAGTTTTAACTTAATTTGAAATCAAATTTTCCGCATATTGGTATATAATAAACCGCTAGATTTAAAAGCATATATTTCAAACCTTTAAAAATGCAAAATACTGTTTAAAACTTGAGTTTTTTAAAGACAAGTACCTCACATATGTAACTGTAAGTAAAGAGCGTGAAAAGTGTTAACCATTAATGAAATAAAATGATAATGAATGTGAATCCAGGTACCGTGGCGGAAAACCTCTGTTTCTCTCCAACCACGCGGACGCTGTGCTACGAGGACTCGGCTAAACTGTGTAGAAGACGACAATCTACAAATTCTACAATGCCGCGCTCGATTTTACAACTAAATGTACATTATTACTGATTTAACGACCGTGCGCAAATTTAAGATTTTTTTTCACAGATTCAAATTATTCCTACAAACAATATATAGTTTTAAAGCATTAAAATTCAATTGAAAAAAATTGGAATATTTGTTTGAAGAGACATACACATAATGAGTTTGTTAAATCACTGTTTGCTATAAATTATGAACCTCTCGAATTCTGACAATTTTATATTAAAATTATATTAAAAACTATTCTTTTATATACTAATATTTAAGATTTGAAAATAAATGGCTTTATAAATTTTATTGATACACTCTGGCTATTTTTATCTGATGAAATTTCATAGACCACAGTAGGTGCAGAACATCAGAATAATAAATTTACTCGTAAATAAAAGATTAAACGATAATGTTATAACTTAAAGAAATTATTCGCTTACTTATTTTTGAAAAATCAGCATTTGGGCTTAATTGGCACGTTTAGACTTTTTTCACACCGTCACCTTCTTTTAAGGTAGCTCTTCGTTCTTAGCTATAAGAACTGAAAGATCTGTACATTTGGTAGCAATATTTTCCGTTCTTTCCTCAGGTAACAATTTACGGGTTGTTTTAATAATGAGAGTATCAGAAGAAATAGATGGTATGGTCCCCATGAGACCCCAAAGTATTTTGGGCAGAAGGAATAGGTTTAACAACAAGCTGTATCCAATCTGTTACGTTAATTTAATGACAATTAACAATTATAAATTATTGCTTGTCTTGTATCTATATAGTTTATGAATCACTTAAAAAGAAAAGGAGATCTTCTGAAAAAGTTGGTTTACAATGAATGTCTGTAATAGATACAGGATATATTGGAGAACTAGTCTCGGAGAATACAAACTAGAATATTATAGTTAAGTAAGTAGATGTTAGGTAGCTGGATAGGTAGATAGTAGATATATTTGGGTAGGTATATGGTAGGCAAATGGGTAGGTAGCTAGGTAGTTAAATGGTAGATAGCTTGGTAGGTTGCTGGGTAGGTATCTGGATAGGTAGCTGGTTAGGTAGCTAGGTAGGTAGCTGGGTAGTTAGCTGGGTAGGTAGCTGGGTAGGTAGATGGTAGGTAGCTGCATAGGTAGATGGGTAGGTAGCTGGGTAGGTAGCTGGGTAGTTAAATGGTAGATAGCTTGGTAGGTAGATGGTAGGTAGCTGGGTAGGTTGCTGGGTAGTTATCTGGATAGGTATCTGGGTAGGTAGCTGAGTAGGTAGCTGGGTAGGTAGCTGGGTAGGTAGCTGGGTAGGTAGCTGGGTAGCTAGCTGGGTAGGTAGATGGTAGGTAGCTGCATAGGTAGATGGGAAGGTAGCTGGGTAGGTAGCTGGGCAGGTAGCTGTGTAGGTAGCTAGGTAGGTAGCTGGGTAGGTAGCTGGCTAGGTAGCTGGGTAGGTAGCTGGGTAGGTAGCTGGGTAGGTAGCTGGTTAGGTACCTGGGTAGGTAGCTGGGTAGGTAGCTGGGTAGGAAGCTGGTTAGGTAGCTAGGTAGGTAGCTGGGTAGGTAGCTGGGTAGCTAGCTGGGTAGGTAGATGGTAGGTAGCTGCGTAGGTAGATGTGTAGCTAGCTGGGTAGGTAGATGGTAGGTAGCTGCGTAGGTAGCTGGGTATGTAGCTAGGTAGGTAGCTGGGTAGGTAGCTGGGTAGGTAGCTAGCTGGGTAGATAGCTGGGTAGGTAGATGGTAGGTAGCAGCGTAGGTAGCTGGGTAGGTAGGTAGGTAGATTAATATAATATTTTGACATTTTCAATCTAAATGATTAATGGAGTGTTGTCAATAAATCAAATAAATCAAAATAAATCAAATTTCAGCTGATTCTTCTATATCTATTTCATTTCTTAATAACGTTTCCTTTCAAATTTTTTACTCATATTTATAAAAGAAGGAATCCGAATCAATTATAATAAAAGAGAGTTTTTCCATTTTTGCTCCAGTATACATCTTTGTCTAAGATACAGTGAATTTATATTTGTTTTATCAAAGTTGTATAATAAGGTTAGATACCCTGGATACGCACCAATATTTGATTGTATCAAGGTTGTATAAAAAAGTTAAATACCCTGGATGCGCTCCAATATTTGATTGTGTCAAGGTTGTATAATAAGGTTAGATACCCTGGATGCGCTCCAATATTTGATTGTATCAAGGTTGTATAAAAAAGTTAAATACCCTGAATGCGCTCCGATATTTGATTGTGTCAAGGTTATATAATAAAGTTAGATACCCTGGATGCGCTCCAATATTTGATTGTATCAAGGTTGTATAATAAGGTTAAATACCCTGAATGTGCTCCAATATTTGATTGTATCAAGGTTGTATAATAAGGTTAGATACCCTGGATGCACTCCAATACTTGATTGTATCAAGGTTGTGTAATAGGGTTAAATATCCTGTAGGTAAAGGCGACCTTTTTTAGCAATGGACATCATATGACGTCACTGCTTATTTTATAAAATGAAAACTTGAATTAGAATTTTAATTTTTAGCTTCAAACTTCTTAGCACAATCTTAATATTTGTTAAATGTGAAGATTGTTCGTTAATGTTAGAGTGACGACATGTGAGGATTTGGAGTGTTCATTGCAAAAAAAAGAGGACATCAATAATTACTTAAGTGTATTTTATGTTGTTACAAAGCAAATATTTTTACTAAACTTATTAATCACTATTAAGTGAAATGGGGATGTTTAAAATGCACAATTGCCGTGGTTCATGCTCATTGGACTTTTTAAAGTTATAACTTAATTCTAAAAGTCGTCTTCCTGTTTCAGCGTTTTATGGATATCACTGTTTATTTTTGGTTAGTTATATTTTTTATTGGTTATATATATATATTTTTTTATATTATTGGTTGGTTATATTTTTGGTTAGTTATATTTTTGGTTGGTTATATTTTTGGTTAGTTATATTATTGGTTTGTTATATATTTGGTTAGTTATATTTTTGGTTAGTTATATTATTGGTTGGTTATATTTTTGGTTAGCTATATTATTGGTTGGTTATATTTTTCGTTAGTTATATTTTTGCCTGGTTATATTTTTGGTTAGTTATATTATTGGTTGGTTATATTTTTGGTTAGTTATATTTTTGGTTTGTTATATTATTGGTTGGTTATATTTTTGGTTGGTTATATTTTTGGTTAGTTATATTATTGGTTGGATATATTTTTGGTTAGTTATATTTTTGGCTGGTAATATTTTTGGTTAGTTATATTTTTGGTTGGTTATATTTTTGATTTGTTATTTTTGTGCTTTGTTATATTTTTTTTTTTTTACATTTTTGGTTAATTATATTTTTGGTTATTTATATTTTGGGTTTTTTTTTTAATTTTTGGTTGCTTATATTATTGATTGGTTATAGTTTTGGTGAGATATATTTTTGGTTATTTATATTTTTGCTTTTTTCTATTTTTGGTTTTTTATCTTTTTAGTTGGTTATAGTTTTGGTTTTTTTTATATTTTTGGTTTTTTATATTTTTGCTTTGTTATATTATTGTTTTTTTTTTATTTTTTTTATATATTTCCCCCGCGCGCCAATTTACTGCAAAATGTTTAAATCAAATCAAATCGAATTATATATTTAGCCATATTTTCATAAATTATGCATGTAAAAATGGATATTTATAATTAACATTAGTAGAAATTACAGTTTATGGCAGGGAGACGGAACTAGCCGGAACTGTTTTCAATCGGTCTCTTGTACAATCAGTCTTTAATCAAAAAATTTGACTTGAAAAGTTTCACAAAAATTAGATTAGGTTGGACTTCCTGGCAGAGAAAGGTGAGGGTTCCTTTAAGAAGTCTGGTGGCTAATAATTAGCGTGGAAAATAAAAGATATGATTCCTGGCTGAAAAGATCCACAGGCTGGTCAAGCGAGAAACAAAGCTATAATTGAGAATTAATTAAGTATTTGAGCAACTGAAACAATAAAGTCTATCACATCTAAAGTCTAAATATTTATCAAGCAAGAATTTTTTAACACTAAGTTTAAACCCAAGCTTGCTCTCAATTTATTTAATATTAGGATTAAAATCATTCCATAACAAAGGAAAACTGAAAAAAGGAAACTTTTTAAAAAAATCATTTCGGACCCTTGGTAGAAAAAAATCATCAGCATTTCTAAGAGGATAAGGGAGATCCGTTAAGGCTGAATTTTTTATAAAAAATTATCTTAGTTAACAGTAGAATATTTCTGATCTATAGAATGCATAATTAATAATTGCTGCTGAATTATTAGGTCAGGAAGAGACAAAATATCTAATGAGGAAAATAAAGGTTATACGAGGCTTTAGAAATTATGCGTACGCATTTTTTCTGAAGCAAGTTTATAGCGAATTAATGTTTGATTTACTACAGCAGCTATAAATAGGCAGGCAGTACAGAATATGAGGATGGATGAGCACGAAGTATAATGACTTTAAGGCTTTACCAGTAAGAATATTCTTTGCTCTATTTAAGTAAAAAATAGATTTAGAAACCTTGTTACGAGTTTGTTTGATGTGATAATCAAAACTTAGATTCTCATCAAAATAAATGCCGAGCATTTTAAAGGCTGGCACTTTGGACATCTTTGAAATATGTTCAATAGGAAAAATTCTGGTTAAATCAGGACTTGAGTTGATGTCATTATTATTAAAATGAAATTGAAAATCAGGAATGGAGGTTTGCTTTGGATGAAAAACCATGACTTTAGTTTTTGAAGTATTGACACAAATCTTGTTGGCTCTTAACCACATACCTAGTTTTTGTAGTTCATTGTTAACAAAATTTCCTACCTCAGCAATATTTGAACCTTTAGCTAATCCTGTAGAGTCGTCGGCAAAATGGAAATTAGGTAACAAGTTGGATTTGTACATATCATTAATATAAATGAGAAAAAGGAGAGGACCTAGAATCGAACCCTGTGTGGGACGGATACATTTAACTAAGTTTGTGAACCATACCCCCAAAATTACCCTATTGTAAGGTCGTCTCCGACAAACTGTATCTCCGTTGAACCCTCCGTACACTCACCAAACCAAACATTTTCAAGGCTTTCTAGTAATATAAACAAAAACCTCATGGAACTTAACGTGCATTAAAAGAACCAATTTAAACTTAATTTTCAGTGAATCATTTACAAATAAACAGTGAAATTACTTTAACCAGATAAATATTCATTTCAGAAGAATTAAATTGCTTTAGACTTCAGTACAAACAACTTTTCGCCGCCCTACAGTTTTCTAGATTGTAAGTTC